CAGTGGGACACCGCCCTGCTGTCCATGTGGGAAGAAAGCTCAATGACTTTGGAAGGAATATGCACTAAGTACATTGTTTCAGGTAAACAGTGAGTGAGAACACAACGCTCTCAAAAATAGAAGGTGAAGCTGAACAACTTGTTTACAGCTGGACCGCCGCCTTTGACTCTTCAGTATTGCAATTCCTTTTTTTTGCTTTTTACAGTACTTGACGCTACACTCTACATATCTTCATTCAGACAAAGGAAATTTGGTAAATATTTTTCCTTCTAAGTCATCAATATGATTGGAGAGAAGAAAATAACTCATCTTCCCTTTCTGCTGGGAACAGGAGCTTCTACATAGCCTTATATGGGGAATTATAGCCGAGATGAATTGTCCCAATGGACTATACACCTATCACAATCACTAATATGAAAAATATCTTAATCATGGCCTTCGAAGTCACAGTAATAAAATCAAGGATAGTCTTCTGGCTCAGAATAATATTACAGTACGTTTTTATAAAGTGCCCTTATTTATCCTTCTGTAAATTAATTCAAACGCAGCAATAAAAATAGACGAATGGAACTTAATGAGAAACAGTTATACCTTTACTACTCCACAAAAGGATTCTTCTGAGCCCAGTACTAAAGCTCAGAGCCTTTTTAAAGATAATTAGAGAAGTGAATGTCAGAGGTGAGGTTCAATACTGCCTGTGGTTTGGGGGATTGGTGCAATTGCTGCTATGTTGCTACAACAAGGCTGCAACAACAGAAGGGAAGGCAAGGAAGCAGAGAAAATCCAGGCAGTTGCCAGAATAAATTTGTTCAAACACTGTTGCTGCAGCTTCTCAGATGAACAGTCTGCTCTTCTGAGTATCTACTGCTGGAAAACTAATGACCCTGGGAGCAATGGAAATCAAATCGGAAATCAAATCAGAAATCTTTATTACTCCTACATTTTAAAGTGGCGCAAAGTTTGAAAGTCTATATGTGCTTTGAGAAAGAAATAGAGATCAGCTGTATCTCAGGGAGGAAATGGAAAAAAAACGTAATGACAGTGATCCTTATTTCTGTGCTGAGTTCTGATTTCATTGCTGGACTTCTACCATAGAAACTATTAGGCAAAAAAGAAGCATCTTGGCAGATATCTTTTGGATGTGAGCATCAACGTCTTTATAAATAGCAGACAAAGTCTATTCCCTAGGATGGGAATGTGAAATGTCTTCTAACTTAACGGAGACAGGAAGGGACTTGAGCTTTCCTGGAAGCCTGTGACTCCCACAGATTTCAGTGGGGCTTTCAAGCAGTCAGAGCACTGCAGACACAGGTTTTACTACAGCAAACACAGTTTTTCAAAGACGTGCTGAGTTTCTCACTGATTCAAATGAAAGCAGCACATCCCATAATATGGTTCAAACGTCTTACCCCCTACCTATTTGAAGCACCCTCTTGTAGAAGACCCATGCATGTTTCTTACAATGCTGGTGTAGCCTTTGTCTTCTCAGGGAAGCAATGAAGAAACAAATTCAGTAGCAAAGTGCTCCACCTTTTTTGTAGTTTTAACGTACCGTGTG